ATCAAAAATCACAAAGCATTTGGGAAAAGCCAACACTATGAAATATAGATAGCAAACTTGGCAAATATTAAATAAGTACTGAGAAAACAGTTGATAGAGCAACTAGATCAAAACGTTATACAATACATTTAATGTTCTCAGAGGTAAAAGTAAAAAAAAAAAATAGATCAACAAAAAAGAACCACCTAAATATCCTTTGAACTTAAGAAATAAAAACCATTTTTAAATGTTGAATGTTGCTGAAGTAAAAATGTTGCTGAAATAAAAATCATTAAAAACAAAAAAGGCTAAAGAGAAAGAATGATTGGATGCAGGGTGACTTGTTAAACTGAAAGATAGGGTTAAGGAATTCTCTCAGAATGTAGTGGAAATTAATGAAGAGATGCGAAGTATGAAAGGTTGGTTAAGACATCTGGAGGATGGATCTAAAAGTTTAAATGACTCTCTAAAAGGGGTCACAGCAGGAGAAAATAAAGAGGGGAGAACTCGTATCTGGGAATTTATGAGACTTGAAGGAAGGCATGAGTCATCAGCATGTGACAACTTATGGGATACCAAACATGGAAATATATGCCATACTGACATACATACTAGAACATTTTAGAATACCAAGGATGAAGAGAAAACCCTAAGAGGTAAAATAGACAAATTTTGGACTAATGACCTAAGTTGTGAGAATAAGATTGCAGTCAGACTGCTCATCAACACCACTGATTACTGAAGCTGGTGAGCCAGTTTCTAAAACAATCTGAATCTAGAATTGTCTTCCAAACTATGTTAAACTGTCATTCAGAATTAAGAAGGAAGTGAATACATTTTCAGATTTATAAGGATTCAGTTTACCTCCCAAAGAAACTCTCCTAAAAAACTATTAGAGAATAACTATAGTAAGAAGAAAAAGAAAACAAATCCTGTTGGAAGTCATTGGTGTAAAAAGCAGTGATAAACATTAATGAACTCTAGTAAGTGCTGATTATGAAAAGTATTGATTTTTAAAAATCTAAATAAAATTCTAGAATATATCAGTCCAGAAATTGACAAGGGGAAGTAGGTGTGGAATAAAATGAACATTATTCAGCAGAAATATTTTATTGGAAATCCAATAAAAGAAAAATATTCCACAGGGAGGTATTTCAAGAGTCCATGAACAGTAGAGTGATGATAAAACAACCCTATACAGTAGTTTACATGCAAATAAAAATTTAAGAAATAAGTCATGTGGAATAAGAAGTACAAAGCTTTAGTTATAAGTAAGTTAGAGGGATGTAATATACAGTATAGGGAATATGGTCATAATACTGCAATGACTTTATATGGGGACAGATGGTTACTTGACTTATGGTGATCCTTTCATAATGTTGGTGAATATCAAATAATTATTTAGTACACCTGAAACCAATATAATATAGCACATCAACGACATTTCAATAAAAAGCAAAGAAATGCCATTGGGGGAAACTGGGCTCTCTCTATTCTTTCTCTCTATTTCTTTCTTTCTTATAAGTGCCTGTGAATCTAGAATTACGACAGTAAAATTTCAAGTAAAAAAAATATTCCAGCTCTTGAGTCCTTATTGCCACACGGGAAGAAGCAACTGGAGGGATTAGACATGATCAAGACATAAGAACAAAAACTATCAGGACAAAACAGAACATTTACATTGTGCTCTTCACTGTTCCCATGAATGTAAGAGTGCTGTGGCGGGATAACACAGTATTGTGTTTAATTTAAATAAATTACTTAAAAGGTTGCCCCACATTTATAGCTACATTCAATTTCTAACCTGTGCCAGCTCTCTAAGTCACTCTGGATAAGGTACACCATTGTCTTTCTGAACTGTACTCGCGTCATTCCACCAGCTTGTCCGTAGGACATAACCCAGGATGTTCACACAGTCTCTACTGTCTCTCTAGTAGGGACAACATTCTCTGGATCACAACTCTTTTGGGCTCCTGGGCTTAATATCACAACTCTTTTGTGTGTGTTGGGAAGCAGTTCTTCAGAAACTGCTTGGGTGTATACTATAGTTCAACTCGATTTTGACACTAGCTACCGGGTACAGAATTTAAGGGTTCAATCTTACAAGAGGGCCTCCCCCAGCCCCACCCCCACTTTAGCTGCCAGTCACAGGTCCAGGTCAGCTGTACTTCTGACCCACCAACAAGATTCCAAAACCTCACGTGAATTAATTTTTTAGAGCAGCTCACATAACTCAGAGAAGCATTTTGCTTACTAGATCACTAGCTTATTATTAAAAGAATCAACTTGGGAAGAGCCAGATGGGAGAGATGCATAGGGCAAGGTGTGGGGAATGAAACAGAGCTTTTCCACCTCCCCTCCAGCTGCGTTGTTCAGTTGCTCAGTTATGTCTAACTCTTTATTACCCCATGAACTGCAGCACGCCAGGCCTCCCTGTCCATCACCAGCTCCTGAAGCTTGCTCAAACTCATGTACATTGAGTCAGCGATGCCATCCAACCATCTCATCCTCTGTCATCCCCTTCTCCTCCCGCCTTCAATCTTTCCCAGCATCAGGGTCCTTTCCAATGAGTCAGCTCTTCCCATCGGGTGGCCAAAGTATTAGAGTTTCACCTTCAGCATCAGTCCTTCCAATGAATATTCATGACTAGTTTCCTTTAGGAGGGACTGGTTGGATCTCCTTGCCGTCCCAGGGACTCTCAAGAGTCTTCAACACCACAGTTCAGAAGCATCAATTCTTTGGTGTTTAGCCTTCTTTATGGTCCAACCCTCACATCCATACATGACCACTGGAAAAACCATAGCCTTGACTAGACAGACCTTCATTGGCAAAGTAATGTCTCTGCCTTTTAATATGCTATCTAGGTTGGTCATAGCTTTCCTTCTAAGGAGAAAGCATCTTTTCATTTTATGGCTGCAATCACCATCCACAGTGATTTTGGAACCCAAGAAAATAAAGTCTGTCTGTTACTGTTTCCATTCTTTCCCCATCTATTTGCCATGAAGTGATGGGACCAGATGCCATGGTCTTAGTTTTTTGAATGTTGAGTTTTAAGCCAACTTTTTCACTGTCTACTCTCACCTTCATCAAAAGGCTCTTTAGTTCTTCTTCACTTTCTGCCATAAGGGTGCTGTCATCTGCATATCTGAGGTTATCGATATTTCTCCTGGCAATCTTGATTCCAGCTTGTGCTTCATGCAGCCTGGCATTTAGCATGAGGTACTCTGCATATAAGTTAAACAAGCAGGGTGACAATACACAGTCTTGATGTACTCCTTTCCCTATTTGGAACCAGTCCATTGTTCCATGTCCAGTTCTAACTGTTGCTTCTTGACCTGCAAAGAGGTTTCTCAGGAGGCAGGTAAGGTGGTCTGGTATTCCCATCTCTTTAGTCTTCTGGGCTACAGTCCTCAGTAAATCTCCCAAATAACACTGAAACTCACAGCCGTGACTTTGTGCACTTTAGAAATTGCAGTTGACGTACTAATTGTGGTGGATATTAATACCCCCTCCCTTTTTAATCCTATTTCCCTGAAGGGGAGTTAGATTTCCTCACCGACGACTTACTTTCCATCCTCAGTTTGCTGTAGGTTGTGGGACCGAGATACAGGGATTCAGAAGAGTCCTCCCCAAGATGTGCACTTTGGCATGCTGATTTCTTTCAGCTGAAGGCAGGGGAACTCTCTGAGCTAAAGAGAATACTGCTCCTCCCATAACTTCCTATAAAAACTTAAACTGGGGATTTTTCCCAAAGAGTTATTGCCAGAGATAACTCTTATCTAAGTGGCCCCTTTTTTATGGCAGTGCAAACCTCCATTCTTATCATCCCATGAATGACCCTCCTGTCTTTGAAATCACCAAAAACCTATTCCATTTTTTACCTTAAGATGGCATATATACCTCATTTTACATTTCTGGCTTTTTAAAGTATTTAATTGGACGATAATTACTTTACAATATTGTGAAGGCCTGTGCCGTACATCAGCGTAAGTTGGCTATAGGCATACATGTGTCCCCAGCCTCCTGGACCCCCCTTCCCCCTCCCTTCCCACCCCATCCTTCCAGGTTGTCACAGAGCACTAGTTTCGGGTTCCCTGTGTTATACACCTAGAGCCTATCATACAGAGTGAAGCAAGTCAGGAAGAGGAAGACAAATATCATATGTTAACACATGTATATGGAATCTAGAAAGATAAAACCGACGATTCTGTGTGCAGGGCAGCAAAGGAGACATAGACTTAAAGAAGAGACTTCGGACACAGTAGGGGAAAGAGAGGGTAGGATGTTGGAGAGAACAGCATTAAAACAAATATATTACTATATGTAACACAGAGAGCCAGTGGGAGTCTGATGCATTTCTCTCTTTGAATCTTTCACGTATATGTAGTCTCTGACCCTCTCATGGGTGTGGGGTTCCCGCTCCTATGAAATTAAGTTCTATTCTCTCTTGTTAATTTGTCTCATGTCAGTTTAATTCTTAAGCCAGCCAAAAGAACACAGACAGGTTGAGGAAGGTCTTCTTCTTGACAGAAGTATGATACTGATTTAACAGCATCTTTTCAATAATAGCAAGAGAAACAGCACTCTCTCACTAAAGTACACATCTACTTCCTCACTTCAGAAATGTTAAAACAAGAAGAAAGTGGTTTCTTATAATAAAACAGATTACTCTTACCTTTTTGCACTATAGGTATTTTTGTAAGCCAACTCAAATTCTTGGAAATACGATCCATTGCAAAACTATAGAACCCTATAGTGAGTTATTTCAGTTTCTGAAGAGAACAGTTGTCTTAGTAGGCAGTTTGGTCTTCAAGGAGGTAATTTACCAAGTTGGGATTCCTTAGTGGATCTAAAGAGCTGATTATTCTAACAATACCTTTTCTATAAAAGCATATAGTGACCACACTGCCATGGTCAACCAACAGGGTTTATATTCTGAAAATAAGAAGGTGAGGACAGGGTTCAGCTTCAGCAAGCTGTGGCCTTTGCTCTGCTTCTGGAGAGGACACCGGTCTACTCACCAGATCCTTCAGTGATGTTACTGGCAAATGAACTTCCTCCCGCAGAGCTGGACCTTTTGCCGTCTCGGAACTGCTGCCTTCTCCTGGCCCACTGCTCCACTCCTTCCTCCTGGGAGCCATCGCTGCCCCTTTTACCTTTTGGAGCCAGTTCCTGGGATAACTTTCGAAGGCTGCTGATTTCCAAATTCCCATCTAGATTAAACCACATGAAGTTTGAAAGTGAGATAGCAATTCAAAATAGAATTTCAAATGTTCCAGTCTTTGAAACAGAACCCCTGAAGACTGGAACTAGAATGGTTTCATTCAGTTCCTTCCTGATTCACTTTCTTAACTTGCATTACTAAAAAAGAGAGGGGGAGGGAGGAAGAGGAGGAGGAAGAAATAGACTAAGGAGATAAAAGAGCTGTGTAGACGGAAGAGAGAATTATGTTGGAAACGGGGGAATCACCATGCATTTCCTCAGTAGGATTCAATTCAATAGATATTCCTTGGGCACCAGCAGTATGCCTGATACATTGTATTAGTTTGTGTTAGTTTACTAGCTGCTTTGGAGGAGCACAATGTAAATCAATTGTTAATTATGTCTACTGAAATTACTATACAAGATATTATTATTATCTGAATTAGTTCAGGTACAGTCTTTGAAAACAAGTGTATTATTGAACTCAGTTCAGAAGGATACAGATTTCATACTTTTCTTGCTGTATGTGTCGGTTCAAAATGAGAAGAAGGATAAGAGCCAAATTACATGAAGGCTTTGATATTTTTATATTTTATATTCATATTTGAATAAATAACAATTTGAAATACTTTATTTACTTCCAAACTGCTGCTTTCTGTCAGCACAAGCTATGAGACTATGTTAATTAGAAGTAAGAAAATCACAGTTAAACTAATCGCAATACAAGCAAACTTTAAGAAAATAATTGTCAAAGTGGAAAACAAAACTCATATAGCAGAGTACATAATACATCGCCAAGTGATTTGAAAGGCTAGAATTGGTTAGGATTTTTCTTTCACTTTTTGATGCTATGCAAAAAGAAACCAAATTTTAAACTTTATTCCCAGCAGTAAATGAGTTTTTAGAATTTAATCTTTTTTAATTTAAAATCTAATTTATCAGCCCAAAGTTTGTTCTCAGAACTATTTAAATAATAAAGGTGGTATATCCATGAATACGTTATCTTCTTTATGTTTATGTATAGTTACTACTCATCCATTTACGTAACAATTTTCACTTTACTTGGCAGGGGGAGAGAAGAGTCACTATTCAATTCCTCTTATTTTCCATAATTTTGCTGTTGAGTCCTACCTCTTCCCTAGGGCTTAAGAAGTTGACCAAAAAATGGCATTCACTCTCTAATATCTACTGTTCCTTTCTAAACTAATTTCTGCCATGCTAGTTACTAGGACTACAGCTATGAACAAGATGACTCTTTTGCCCTCTGGAGTTTTACAGAGTGGTGAAACTTAAAAATGCTACCGAGCTGGCCTCGCACCCTTTCCTTCAACACTCACTCCACTTCCACAGTTTGTTGAGATTGGGAGGCCAGGCTGACTCTGAAGGCATCCATGAAAAGGAGACTTTTCTCATGTCAGACGTACATTTAAAGCAATTCCTTCCTGAAATTGCTGGGGGTTTGGGGGAGGAAGTCCTACGAATCTAGGAAAGTATGTGTAAGGGAATATGACTGTGACATGGAGAGATAAGTTTTCCTCTAGAATCTTAAACATTCAAACGAGGACACATCCGTGACCTCCAGTGTGTTCTGAAGTGTGAGTTGAGAGCCACCCGGATGCTTGCTGAGAGTAAAGCATCTCCTATTGTTACTGCTTGGTGTTTGTGGAACCTCAGGTTTGCAAACACATAGAAGGTAATTTTGTCCAGCCACCCACTCTATGCTTAAAACAATTTTGCAAGATGTCTACCAAGAAATCATTCGGTCTGAGCTGGAACACTTCTCCATCTCAAATTTACGACCTGCTTACTACCTGAATCAGCATAATGCTTGAATACTTCAAACTGATAGAGGTTTTCACCTGGTGAATTTAACCTCTGTCTCAGTAACCTCTACTCACATACAAGCCTCTCCCTTATTCCACGACTACCTGAGAGACGATTTATTGAGACTTTCTAGGGATCAGATGGGGATGAGGACCCTGGAGGACCTTGAAGGACTCAAAACACATACTGTCCCTTTGTTAGGACAATGTGTTAGTCCACCAACAAGCGCGCTGGTGTTTTATGACACATGAGTGTGAAAGTAGAGAGCTAGCACCGTGAAAGCCAGAGGGGGCCTGGGAAGTGAGTGCAGGCCAAGGAGAGGGAAATGCAGCTCTGCGTGGAGCCCTGTTGGGAGAAATGCCCAGCTGGGCATTGCAGCTGGCCCCTGGCCCTGCTCACACACCGGGAGACACCGAAGTGACTATGAGTGTGGACATTCCCCAATGTCGTCAGAAGTCAGCTTCTTGGAAAGTAGCCCAAGAGCTACAATTCTGTTACCAGGAAAGGAATGGCTGTTTTGTGCATCTTTGGATCCCTAGTACTTGGTGTAGATCTTAGGACCACAGACTTTGTCCTGGCCACGACCCTCGGCTCCGTTTGCCTGGGTGCAAGCTTTCAGAATCACTCCTTCCTTAGGGACATGGGGAAATAAACTGTCTCATGTGTTACCTGTAAGTTTTGTATCATATTACATAGAAAGGACTGTTTAATTACAAATATTTCTACGCCAGGCAAAATATCATTTAATCCTTCTCATTACCTGTCCTTCTTTCAGAGTCGCCTAGATTTGGTCCTCTCATTAAAATGTTTTACGATACAGCATTCCCGGTTCTTTGGCAGAGGTCTTAAAGATATATGTCAGGCAATTTGTAGCTGAAGAAAGGAGGCCCTGAGAAACCTCTTTACCTAAGAATGTGCAGACCAGAACCCAGAATTTTAGTCTTAAGAGGTTCAGACTGGTATGCTTTCCCTTACAGCACTGGCTCTGTAATTCTTGTTACGTGCCCATCCCTACTACCCTGGGTTAATCTAGTTCAGAGGTGGTAGATTGCTCAGCCTCTACTGTGTCTTAAATGTCATAGAATCTAGAGATTCATAGAGATCAAAAATCCCAGATCTCCAGCTCTCTTGAAAAACGAGAAGGCCTGGCCACTCGGGGCCTGAATTCTCATAGCCTCAGGACAGCACTCCCTCTGGTTCACCAGCACTCCATTATTTCTGATGTGCGGCCTGCGTTACTCATTTACACTACCTGCCTGGCCCCTCTCGGCTGTGACCTCTAATCTAGTTAATTCTGAAGCAAGCACATGGTGGAAGGAACTCCATAAATACAATCAGCACCCATGTCGGGGATTCTTGACCCGAGGTATGTGGATAGATGTTGAGAAGCTGGAGGACCTGTCTGCAAATAAAGGCATATATTCGTGTCTATATTAAAAGTCAAACTTTCTGGAGAAATAGTACAAAGATGTCCGCACTCTTCAAGGCCATCTATACTCTGAAAAAAATGACAAAATCCTGGCCTAAAGTAGCAATAGTATAATAACAGTGGTATTGCATCAAGTATAAAAAACTCATAGCTCTAGAAGAGTCAAATCCATCTAAAGACTTATAGATTCAAACAGCTAATATAAACATTTTCACTTCTGAACTGTTTTCCTGTTTGTTTGTTTGTTTTTGTATGTGAACAGAGTTTTCCACAAAGAATAACTTTCCTGAATTCATCCTTTGATTCAACAAACATTCACTGAATATCTACTCTTCAGGCAGGTACTGTTCAGGTGCTCTGGATACAACCAAGATCAAAACAGAAAAAAAAAAAAAGTCCAAGCCCTCATGATTGCATTCTAGTGAGAGAAATCAGAAGAAATAAAGTAATTAAATGCACAACACATTCGCAGGGGAAGCTGCTGTGTGTGAAAGGAAGACACGGGAAAGGAATGCAGTACTCCCAGGCTGGAATGGACAGGGCTCAGCTTGCAGTCTTGAGTTGAGTGGCCTGAGGGGGCCTCGGAGAGCAGGTACTAGGTGAGCAAAGATTTGAAGAATGAGTGTGAATCGTGTGCACAATTGGAGGAAGGGGAGTCCAGGTAGTGGGGGTTGGACTGAGGAGGAAGTGATGGGGGCTGGAGCCTGCCCAAGCGAAGGACTGACGTGGGCTCTTTCCTGGCAGATTCCAGCAGCTCAAGAAAGGCAGTGTGGCTGGAACAGAGTGATCTGTGGGAAGAGAAGTAAAGAGAGGAAGGACAGAGTTGTAGGAACAGCTTTTTAACGAAGCAAGCGATACCAGGAACCAGTAGCTGGAACTGTGCACCAAATGGGATGATTTCAAAGTCTACAGAAGCACAGGATCAGCCCTGGGAGGATTCTGACTTGAATTATTGATTTTCTTAAGGAAACAGGCTGTTCTGGGAAAGGCAGTTTAGGGAGGAGCGTGTCCATGGAGGAGGAGTCAGCCTGGGAGGAATATTCCTCCAGGTGGCACACACGTGCTCTGGGAGACACCAGTGCTATTATTGCAGACTGGCTTCCTACAAACTGAAATAATTATGGACTGAAACAAATGTACGGGTTAATGCCATTGATTCTGGTGTCTAGGGATGGGCTGGCAACTGGGCAGCCATCGCTGTGACTGATGGATCTTTACCTTAGTGGGTTCATATTCAGCAGATGACTCTATGTGTTGTTTTAGGGCATTTAATTCTCTGCGAAGTAAAGTTCACATTTCATGCCCACACTTCTGTGCCTTTGTGTTTTATTTCTACTTCTAAATTTTATTTTATTAAAAACTTAGGTCTAGGATAGCAATGCAGAAAAGGCAGCTTCTTGACTAAGTTTTGTCCTTCCAAATATCATATGTGGTCGCGTTAAGAATGTTACTGGCAGTTTTGAAGGAGGTTTTTACTTTTTCGTGGTCTTCCCTTGTAGCCCAGCTGGTAAAGAATCCTCCTGCAATGCGGGAAACCTGGGTTCGATCCTTACTTTTTCAAGATGCATTTAATAACAATGTAGAATAAATGCTAACATTAAGTATAAAATATTTGGGCTTATTGAAGAAAAACAAGAAATGCTCCAGTGATACGATGAGGATACAAGGTTAGAAGCAGACAGGCAATATTATGTACTTAGGAATGAGCTTCAATCTTAGCCCTCTCCATGAGAGCTTCTGGGTTCTATCAGTGGTTTGAAAATGGCCAACCAGTCCACAAGGGCGGTCAGAGGTCTGCTTGGGGTCAGAAGTCCCTAGATGGCTCAGTGAGGATTAGCCATGACTGTTTCTGTTTTCTGTCCTTTGTTTTAATTACTATTCCACATGGCCTCCTGAAACATGTATGCCGTGCTTCTGCAATGACACGGCAAGGTTTAAAAACACATTTTATCACAAACATTTTCTTCCAATTCTACTGAACATGCTTAGCTTGCAAGAAGCAAGAAATGGCAGATTATTTAAGAGTGGCAAAAGGCTAACGTTTCCCACAAAATTGATTTGGCAATACATCAACCTTTTAAAGAGAAATCGATTTTTTTAACTTTATATTAAACTGCAGTCTTGGTAATTTTGCTATGTACTATTTATGGGTGAGGTAGGCGATAATGGAAAAAAGCAGGCTGATATATGCTTGCCCATATTCATCTAATTCTAAAATACTCAATATATCTTCAGCCATAAAGAAAAAATCCCAAGCAATAAAAAAAGACTTCCCAAAGGTCAAACAAGTGAAAACAATGAAAGTTAAAGATTCTATATAGCCCACTGTACCTTTCAGAGCTTTCTGCTTCTGAGGGGAGAACAGGATGTCTATTTGGTGAGCGTGAGTTTCTTTTGGGTCATTTTTATTTTCTTCAGGGCTTGGCTTTGTTGAGGCAGTCCTTTGGCACCCTGCTGGCTCCTGTTTAAAAGTGGTTAGTCCAAAGCTTTCTTCATCTTGGTTAACATATTGGTCTGCATCATTGGTCAGGGTTTTCTCAATAAGGAACAGGTTATCTGTAGCACACATTGCACAGCTGAACTCAGCACTGTCTGGAAAATTTGTCTGAAAACAGACTTTATCATGATTGTCATTTGCTAGGTCTTCAAAATCTCTGTAGCATGCGTTCTTTACTGCAGGCATAATTATGTGGCATTTGTCTTTTTCAACGTTTCCCAGAGAGCCGGGAGGCTCTTTAGGATTTTTCATTCCCATGGAATAATTAGAGTAAACAGTGTCTTCTTCATCACCTTGAATAATTAACCTTTGGTCTAACTCATCAGCTATCACTGTCATCACTGGTGCTTTTGTTTTGCTGGGGACTGCTGTGTCTGGATGGCTTGCCCGAGACCCTATCTGACCCCACTCTGCGGTGATGCAGCTACTACTGCTGAGTGGCTGGCCAGCAGAGAGGCTGCCTGAGGACGCGAGGCTGAGAGGTGGATGCGGTGTCCCCTTCACTTCCAGTAGTGGCTGTGCTTTTGTATGAGAGTCACTATGTAAAGTGGTGTTTTCAAAGTCTCTCTCAGCCACATCAATAAGCCCTTCCCCATAGTCTTTCAAAACTTCAGCACAGTGATTAAAGGAAAAGGGGTCCCCAGGGGTTTCTTTAGGTTCTGAGTGTCTGGCGGCCCAGGGTGATGGGCTGAAAGAAGTGGAAGACTTCAGAACATTTTGAATAGAAGGGAAAGCTAAAGAATCTGAGTTCTCATAGCAATCTGCAGGTGGAATTTTGCTGCCTTTGCAGTAAATGTTGGATGCCTTTTCTCCCACAAACTGCACGCTCAGAGAAGACGAACAAAAGTCAGAGCCTTTGCCATCTTGAACTGGAAAGATGTCAGTAATGGTACTTGGCAAATAATTTATTCCTTCTGGGTTGGGCTGTGTGTCTGAGTCCAATGTGATATTTTCTGGTTTATCTGAGATGATTTTTCTGTCTCTGTTCACATCTGTAGGGTCCTCAAAAGGCATTTTACTTAAGTCAATATCGCTCAAGCTCATGGTCTTTGAGGTATCACGTGAAGTAGGAAGAATGTTGTTGAGAAGAGTCTCAGCCTCAGAGACACGTTTCTTTTGGAGGGTATTCTTACTAACTACACAGTTCTTTTGCTGAAAGATGGCAGATTCTACCGCACAGTCATCTGAGGCTGAGGATACTGTGTCAGGCTTATTCTTCTCGCTGTCAGGGCTTGAGCACAGAAAAACCACCACTGAATCAGAATTCTCCTCCTTCTGGAGAGCAAACCCAGTGGGAGGAGAGGCGTGCAAACAGCCTGAACTGTGATGCTGGTTTTCCAGCTGCCATTTCTCAGGGCACCCGGTATCGGACTCTGCAGAAGACTCGGGCCCTTCTTTAGCTGCGTGACTGGAGGCAACGTTTCTGTTTTTCACTATTTTCCCACTTTTTGGCAGACAAGTTATATTTATTAATACATTCTCTTTCTTACTCACGTATTTGACTTTAATTCCTTTTCCTACGATGCTAACTTTCAGTGAGGGGCTCTCAGTTTTGGCAATTTTCCCTTCAGATTTAGATGAAGCCTCCGGTTGTTGCCCTTCAACCGATAGATTCTTGCACTTGGAAGAGCAGCTTCTAGAAGTGTAGCATCTCTGGAGGTGTCTGACAGAGTAACACGGGCGCCATCTTGAACACGTCTTTTTCGTTGGGAGCCATATTCCTGTTTGACAGAAACAGCTGTTCTCGATTGCTACTCGGACGTGGACAGCCCCACACGTCACGTCTGTCATAGTTTTGCCTTTTGATGGTTGAAGGGCCTCTGATGTGTTTGGGAAATCCCGCAGTGCAATTTTTTCTGATAATGGTTCTTCGTAGTCACTGAACGTGACCGCTGGTAAGACTTTGTCTGATCGATCAGAAAGGGATGAAGGAGGCTCATCCTTTTCCTTAATTATTTTGCTTTCAGATGGGGTTTGTTTCTTATCTGCAGGGAGAAAAGGAGACTTCTGCTTTCTACTCGTAGAAGCAGATGTATGCTCATCTCCACTTTCCTGAGATTTTCCTAATGCCCCAGTCTGATGAAGTAAAGCTCCTGAGGTGTCTCTTTTGACTTCCTTTTCAAGGTCTTTTATGTTTTTTTGGCATGCTTGTGTAGCAGCCTGAGGGTCACCTGAAGAAAAAGCAAAAAAAAAAAAAAGAAGGTTTCGGTGTCCATTTAGAAAGCAGCTGTTCCAAATTCTAGGATAAAATTCAATGCATATCCTTTGTAAGTATTTAGAGTAGCATTTTCCATTCATTCCTAGTATGTAAAAGTATTTTCCACAAACATTCATTTCTAATAAATATCTCATTTTAAATCAATTATCTTAGAATGCAGAATATCACTTGGTAGTTTCAGGAAGTAGGACTCTAAGTTAAGTTTTACTCTGAAGCAGAGACTTCCAAGATGGGTGAAATAAAAATTTCTGAGCAGATTTATGCAAATGAATTTTGAGAGACTTTTTGATAAAGAGCCAGTTGCCATGGTCAGGTATTTTGCCCTAGAACTGACACCTTGTAACCTTTACTCCTCTGCTTTATAATATTAGAATATTTTGCTTGACAAATTTGCAAACATGAGCATAAAGTATTGGATCTTGTGTAACAGACAGCAGACAAAATACAAAGATTTCAACTTATATTTTAAATGTCTGAAAGAGAGTATTTCAAAGGGAAAAGAAAAGAATGAGCAACAGATAAATAATGATGTCATGGAAATCTATGAACCAGGTGTCCACAAGGATATCTTTATTAAATTGATTAAGATAAAAATGGGAAAAGTAGTATTTATAATGATTTTAAATAGTATTTTATATATACTTATATATTTTAATAAGATTACATAGTTATATATAAAGAATAAATAAATTCTCTTCAATCAGATAAAGGAAAATATCCTACCAAAATTTTGCTAGAGGTGGCATAGAAGTTTGGGATGCAGAAAAATAATTGCTGTTTCATAATCAAATAAACAGTCATATATTTAGGAATTATTACTTTCCAATTTCAGGAGAGGTATACAGACTTCTGATTTGACATATAGGTTCTTGAGCATACTGAAGGTCCTTGGAGAGCAAAACCATTCCCATTTGTCTATTTGTCTCTCTTCTAGTCTGAGAGAATGACTTTTCTTATAGCAAATACTCAGAGTTTCCAGTGGGCCTGATTATAGTCTGGGAGCTGTCATGTGGAGGTTGTGTGAGAAAAGACATGGAGACACAGCTCTCTGATGCCCATTTACAGCGGTTTATAGGCTGGTAGCCTGCCTTCCAGAAATGTAGATGACAATTGAATCTCAAAATAACACCCTCATGCTAAGAACAGTATATAGCCATTTTAAGTTTGATAATTTTACAGCTTATGGACGCTTCCAATGGCCTATACTTCGATTTCTGCAAGTAGAAGATAGATTTGAGACAGTTACATACGAATGCATTGATAACAGGGTCTAAGAATAGGGGCTTTAATAGCTTTTGTTTGAATATGTAAATATTTTTATCTGAATTGTTATCACTTGTAATTCATATAATCAATAATGCAGAAATGTATATATAGTAACAGTCGACCAAATTTCTAAATCATCTTATAATATATATGTGCATTTATCTTCCTATTTTTATTGATATTCCTGTGATAAAGATCAAAATACATAAACCAGGTAGTTCACTTTTTATGTACTTATAAAACCAATAAATTGGACTTACATACTGTGGGATTCAAGAGTTTCCATTTTTTATAGGCTTTTCTTCTTTTCCTCCTCATTATGGGGAGCTGAGGGCCTTCAGCTTTCACTGGCCTTTGAAAGTATCAAATTTGAAATTATTTTCCACTCAGAATTTAGGTCTTAGTAAAAATACCAACTAACTCAATTCATTTGCGAACTTGATAGCATAATGTCACTTTCTGGCATTTTACAGTGTTTTTCTTTGAATTATTTTGTTTTCATAATTAAATTCTCCTTTCCTGTTTATTTCCACCCCAACTATTTACTGCATTATTATATACTATGTGAACATTTAAACATAAATTCTTTTCATATGTGTAGACATTTAGGATGCAAGTTATAAAGTCATATTCTGTTTAATTTGTTCATTTTTATATTCCAGCTATTTTGCCAACAAAGCTCCATCTAGTCAATACTGTGGTTTTTCCAGTGGTCATGTATGGATGTGAGAGTTGGACTATAAAGAAAGCTGAGGGCCAAAGAATTGATGCTTTTGAATTGTGGTATTGGAGAAGACTCTTGAGAGTCTCTTGGACTGCAAGGAGATCCAACCAGTCCATCCGAAAGGAGATCAGTCCTGGGTGTTCATTGGAAGGACTGATGCTGAAGCTCAAGCTCAAGCTCTAATACTTTGGCTACCTGATGCGAAGAACTGACTCATTGGAAAAGACCCTGATGCTGGGAAAGATTGAAGGAGGGAGGAGAAGGGGACGACAGAGGATGAGATGGTTGGATGGCATCATCGACTCAATGGACATGGGTTTGAGTGGACTCCAGGAGTTGGTGATGGACAGGGAGGCCTGACGTGTTGCAGTCTATGGGGTCATAGAGTTGGACACAACTGAGTGACTGAACTGAACTGATATTCCATTTTTTCCCTAGCCTAATAAAAATACCTAATCCTTTTGGCCTAATTCAATATCAGCAAATTTCTAACTCTGGTAGATTAAATGGGGTAGAGTAGAGAGGTGCTTTGCCTTCATTACATTGTCATATATTCTACATATAAAATTTTGTTTTAGTATAGAGCACGTATTCTCTATAGAAGAGTCTACTCTTTGTGAAAGATCAAATTAATTCTTTGCCTTTATTATGAAATAAAGGATTATTTTCCCTGCTGATGTCTTAACTAATAGAAACTATTGGGGAGATATCCAGGGAGAAGGCAGCCTACTAACTAACCAGGGAAAAACCTGCCTGTGCTTAGAACTAAACCCAATTCAATTGCTTCACTTTCAGAGGATTTAACTGTCTGCACAGATACAAAGAAAAATAGCTTCCCACGAAGCAGTTTGTTTTGAGTGTATTTGGGCAGGCTGTGCCTTTGGACATCTCAGCAGAGAAGCTCATCTTTTATCTGTTTTGCCAAATAAAATATGGCTGCTTTGCGGCCAGTTTTGGCAAAAACTTATTTAAATTCTTCTTAACCCATTTCTCTCCTCAAAATCCCATCATAGTAATGTGTTGATTTTAAATCCCTTTTCTTCCATAAATTCTCAGTCCCATAACTTTATGAAAATTCCTTTTCCTTAGGCTATCTTTCTTATATAGAACAATTGACACTCATTTGGTGTCTTCTAATTATCCTTTATATTCTCTCCCCAATAGACACAATTAAGTTTCTATGGCTGAGTAAGCAAGTAATAATCCTTTCTTCTTAGAAGGCCAATATCGGGTAGGGCTGGGGAGAGGATTACAAACACATAATTAAAATCTCTCTTTTTTTAAACCCCTGTCTGACACATATTGGATTTTCTAATTTAAAAAAATGCTTCAAAAGCACTTGACTAGGTTACTGATTACTTTTCTATGATCCCATCTAGTTTGAACAGCGAAATGTAGTCTGGTGCACTTTGTTCAGTGGGAGATCTGGGGTGTGTCCTGCTTCTGTTGTTTACTTGGCAGGCCACTAATCTGTGAGGCTGGGCTCCAAAGGAGAAAATGACGACACGTGTCACCTTGCAGAGTTACCGTGGAGAAACACAACTGAAGGTATGTTATGAATGTTTCCAGTAGATGGCATTTATTACCCTAACCTTGTGTTAAGAGTATACACACCGGACTATTAGAATGCACACACCATTAAAGTTGAGCAGTGCCTGATGCTGGGCTTTCCTGGTGGCTCAGACGGTAAAGAATCCGCCTGCAATGCAGGAGACCTGGGTTCAATCCCTGGGTCGGGAAGGTCCTCTGGAGAAGGAAATGGCAACCCACTCTGGTATTCTTGCCTGGGAAATCCCAAGGACAGAGGAGCCTGATGGGCTACAGTCCAGGGATTCACAGCTAAGCACACACACACACAATGTTGGACATTGGAGATAGTCCATTGGATCAGAGCTGCAAGTGAGTGCTTAGACAAAGCTGATCAAACCATAAACTCTCTTAGAGGTAGAAATATTTAGAAGTTTTCAATATTATCTTATTAAGTTCTAATTTTACAGGAGAAAGACACACCCAGAGAGTCCTTGCTTTCCGCATCACTCAGGACAGAACCCAGGCTCTTAGGAATTTGGCAACTCTTTGAGCAACACATGGGATAGATGCCATGGAATTTCTGAGCATATAGAGCAGATTTTATAATCAGTTTGCACTTTAGCTCTGAAATAGCACAACTTTATTTCAGAGAATTGAGAAAAACTGTTGAGTATGTCAGCCTAGCATAGTGCCTGACACATAGTGAGTACCTAATAAATGTTCAAGAAGAAATGAACTAGATGGACAGTTTCTAATTAGTCCCTGTATATAGTTATGCTTTTAATAACATGCCCTCTTGGACTTCTCTGGTGTTCCAGTGGCCAAGACATCAGTGCTCCCAGCGCAGGGGGCCTGGGTTCAATCCCAGGTCAGCGAACTAGATCCCACACGCCAAGACTAAGACCCGGCACAGCCAAATAAATCAATACTAAAAAAAAAAAGTCCCCTCTTGTTTTTCCAACTGTATCCTTTCCTTTTACTCTGCATTAATTTGTTTATAGTTAATAAAGTTATTAATTATTTATATTAATCATATACATGTGTATGTATATAAATATATTTAAGACTTAAATATATGTTGTTAATATATATAAAAATATATGTTTTAAAATCTGGACAACTGCAATGGTTTTCTAATTGATTTTCTTACTTCTATATTTATGTTCTTTGAATTTACATAGCAGCCAGATTTTTAAAATATACAAATTAAATCATGTCATTCTCCCTGTTTAATACACTTTAATAGTCTCTCATTCCACTTTGAAAAAATTCTAAGCACTTTCCTGTTTTTTTTTTATACAAATGCATAAGCTGTAATTTTATTCACAAGTAAAATATATCACCAGTAGACCTTCAGATTTACATTATAGTATCCATTCCACTGCAGATTTCCTGGACTTATATTTTTCATAAATGTTTATTTGTTTTATGTAGAATTGGCAATAAAGCTCAGGAAAATTACCATGATTGCTATTATATATCAGTCAAAACCTATCATATTTTAGACCTTTACATTGGATTTTATAGATCTTTTTTTTTTTTTTAAACTGGGCTTTGACTCATTATAATTCACAGAAGAATGAGGAAAAATGTAAACAGGAAATATGAACAATATCTTTCTATTGCAGAATTACAAAGCGACCCCATTATTTTCAGAATATTGTTAGATGGAAAAGATTTTTTAAAAGGTATTGTTAGAAAATTTTACTGGTATCGCTGTTTTGAAAAATTACTTAAAAATTCTCTACTGTATTGTTGAAGCTGAAGTGTTTTCCTTGTATCATTCACAGGGTATGTTCTGCTGGCAATAAGAAGAGAAAGATTATTAAAAGGTACATAATGATAACTATTAAAATTCTATGAAATAAACTCAGAAGGTTAAATGCTTAACTTCCAGTGTAGCATGCTATCAAGTACTTTTTAAAATAACCATTGGCTCCAGTTTCTTGTAGAATTTGCAAGAAATCTTAATGCATTTCTTATAACTTCATTTTCTTGGTTTTCACACATGGACTATGTTCTCTATACTAAACGTTTAAAGGAAATTTATATATGTAAACCAAATTATGAAAAATTCAAGTTAAAAATAAAGAAAATTCTAAAATTTCCATTTACTTTTGAAAGTGCATATAAAGTATGCAATGTTATCTTCCACTCTCATTCCTGGTTTTTGAATAGCCTAGAATTTAAACTGTATTCTTTTGTCCTTAAATTTCTAAAAATTTTGTATGAGCATAAGAAGAGTTATACTGGAAAACAGCTGTTTCAGCCCATGTATCAGTTGAGACTTGCCCTCACTTCTATGGGTCTGCAAGAATGAAATTTTACTGACTTGGTTGCTGGGCAGTAATTCTTAATCACTACTGTAAGTTTCCTACTATTATGAAACTAAACAGCTCTGTTGTTGTTCAGTCAGTCGTGTCTGACTCTGAGACCCATGGACTGTAACCTGCCTGGTTCCTCTGTCCATGGGATTCTCCAGGCAAGAATACTGGAGTGGGTTGCCATGCCTTCCTCCAGGGGATCTTCCCAACCCAGGGATCAAACCCGCTTCTCTTATGTCTCCTGCATTGCAGACAGATTCTTTAACACTGAGCCGCCTGGGAAGTTCCTATTTATACCTATATTTATATACATTTATATGGATAAAATATTAGAATCTATTAGGTTAATGGTTTTAAATAGAAATTCAAATCTCACATCCAATGAAACCAACTTTTCCTTGCCCTAAGTACCATATTATGAGTAGTCTGTTAAAGTTTATAGGGAGTATGATGACTATCTATAAAACAGACTCTTGGTGATCACTGGAGCATAAATCTGTTAAGATCTTCAGCTCAGAAGAATAGATACAATTTCAATACTAAAATAATTATCTTTAAAAATAAGCTGTGTTGACATGTTATCACCCTGCTTGACCCATAGTTGCTCAAACGTAACTTTAGTGGATGAGGGTAACCCTTGGAGGGCAGGAAGCTCGCTCTATACAAGTTAAATCAGAATCTCTGCAGAAATGAAATGCAGATAGAAAAGAGCATTGTCGAGTGTGGAACTTATTGTTATT